AGAGCTTTTTACTGTAGCAAAACTCGAATTCTAAACTCGAATTAGCGAAGTGAACATGGCCTAAATTACTTTCCGGAGTTTATTATCCTATTGTACATTTACATCAACTATTTAATATTTCAGAAACATTTTCTTATTATAGGGATACAATACTTTTTGGAAACATAGTTAAGCTAATGGAAACTAAATTTAAAATTTATTGGTTAGGTTGTCCTATGTTATATGCATTAGCAACCATTTTAGATCCTAGGTGTAGAATAGATAGGATTGAATCTTTGATGACTGCTACAGCAGAAAATTTAGGTATTGATATGCAACTAACTATTACTGATGCTAGGAAAATGTTAGAAAAGGTATTTGGTTTGTATGAAGCAAAATATAGCACAGGTCAAAAAGAACAGAGAATTTCGACGTCAACTAGCAGTTTGGGGCCTAAAGGCTCGTTGTGGAGTTTCTTGAAGATGAAAGAGAAAACGACAGGATCGTCATCAACACAAGCTTCTACCGAACTGGTAAAATATTTTGAAGTAAATTTTATAATCGATGACGACAAATTGGACATCTTACAGCGGTGGAAGAGCATGACCGATCATTTTCTAACATTGTCCGTAATAGCTCGTGACATTCTGACAACTCTAGTGTCAATGGTAGCATCGGAGCAAGCATTTAGTGCAAGCAACCAAATTCTTGATAGGAAGAGAAATAAAATGCATCCAGATATCTTGGAGGGACTAATGTACGTTAAAGACTGGGAAGATGCCAGAAGACAAAAACAACAATACATTGATGATTCAATACAAGACTATTTTTCTAACTTAGAAATAACATAATTTTCTAGAAGCACTTAGGTTTTGTAGTTTACTATTCCTAGAATACTGCACTCTTTCTTCCTTTGCTAAGATTTTATCATGATCTCCCCACAAGTATTACTTGGCAAGGTTTTTAACGAGGTAGTCATTTATGTGTACTTATTCGTATTATCTCAATTTAATAAAATCACATCTTTTGAGACATATGATATATTTTCTTTTTTAAATTAAATTTTGAAAATAAAATTACAAGGGCCAGGGTCGGCCCGTGAAGGGCCTGAGCCCAAGCCCGGCCCTGGCCCTTATGGACTAGGGCTGTGGGCCTAAGATTTTCTCCTCAGGCTCGGGCCTGCATTGTGCAGGGCCGTGCTAGGCACGGCCCAGGCCCGCCACAGGCCTAGGGTCGGACGTGCCGCGCCGGCCTAGCACGGCACGTTTGACAACTCTAGGCCCGTTTAAGATAGTTTGTGCTTATCCTTTTAAACAAAAGGAGAAAATAAACATAAATTAGAATTTTTTAATTAGTGTTTAAATAATACCCAAACAAGTACTTTTATATTTAAAAAGAATTTTTGTATTTGTTTAGATAAAAAGTTGAAAGCATTTCTTGTTATAAAAAGTAATATAATAAAAAATATATATGAGATCTTTAATTTGTTATTCACAAATAAAAGATTAAAAATGTAAATAAAATTTTTTTTCATAAACATTAAGAAAGCAGTTTATTTTAAAAATATTTTAAAAAAAACCTAAAAACACTTCAAGATTTACCATGTAAAAATGTTTAAAAACGATTTTTAGACTAAATAAACAAAAACGATTTTTTTTAAGCCAACCATCTAAAGAGATTTAAAAGCTGACTTTTAGACTAAATAAACCAAAATCATCTTTTTTTTAAGCCAATCTAAAGGCGCCCTTAGTTAGGTCCCCGAATAGCAAAAACGTATCACTGTTTTGTAACTCGTGGTGCATTTGTTGGTGGTTGGTTGATCAAGAGAATTCAATTTTAAAAACCAGTGAGAGTGAAAAATGGAGGAAGTGAATGAAAATCTACTTTAAAAGCTGTGTAATTTTTTTTTTCTCAAAAAGAAAGAGGATAAAAAAAGTGATAGAGATTTACTTTGTTTGATACATAAGAATGAAAAGTCAGTGAAGAAAGTAGGATTTTGGGTTGAAATTGATACATTTGAGTTGTTTGGGGGGAAAGAAAAATAATGCGGTACAAAGGCTAGTGAATCTGACTTATTTATTTTTACTTGGTTTGGATTTGGTTCCTGAAAAATTATTTTGTTTTGTCAATTTTGAGTAGTCAGTTAAGAAAAATACACTTGAAAGACTAATTAATAAACTAATCGGTCTTATGCAAGTGCAACTAGTAACGAAATCAACAAAAGTTTATAGAGTTTGATAGTACAAATAATGTCTTGAGAGCTATTCAAGGCTCAAGCTTTCATACATTTAAAATGGTTCTAACTCTATAGATATCGTCTCCGCCGAAGGCGCAAGCCAAAGTAGAGCGTCCCTCACTCCATCCTCGTCATATCCTCCCATCTCTACCTTCAGCTTGTTCACGTTAGGCAAGGGGCTGCGGCAATTCCTTCTAAATACTTGTGGAAACATGAGAAGCTCCACCAGCAAAACAAGAAATAGTACGTCAATTAGGACTATAATCCTAGGAAGGAAACATGCAAAATCAAATACTAACAATCACTTAGAAATGCGAAAATATCTTAATCTACTTTGAGCTTCTATAAATACCTCTTCACAGCAGAAAATGAAGTTTATACTCTTGGAGCAATCGAAATGCGAGAGAAAATCAATTAAATTGATGTACCACTCCCTCTCCCTCTCCCTTCTACGGGTTTCGGTTTCCGCACAATAGCCAACATGGATAAATGTTTCCGACAGATTTGGCGAGTTCATTAAAAACCTTACCAACAGATTCTTAGTGTAACACTTGAAGGAATCTAGATTAGGAGCATCAATTGAAATCTCAATCCGATCCCAGTCCACTTCATCCCAGTCCACTTTATCCCAATCCTCTTCATCCCAATTCGCTTGATCTCGGTCCTTATATCGAACTGTCTTGACATCCAAAAACTTGAGGTGCTGATTTCTGATGTCAATAAGATCGCATTGATCTAAGGCAAGACTCTCAAGAAGTGGAAGTCCAGAAATAAAGCTTGCAAAATCCTCATCGGGATAAAAAGAGACACCATGCAATGAGAGATTTTCAATTTTCTTGCAAGAAGCAAGATCAAAGCGGCAACTGCACGGTTTTTTCCATGCAGTATTAGAAAAAGCAAAAGATTGAAGATTTATAGCTTCCACTTTGATTGTAAATGTCTCCCAATTCCCAGATAAATCCAAAAACTGAAGACACGAACTCGAAACTCGAAGACTCTTCAACTTATCACAGTCCTTAATGTACAATTCTTCAAGGGAAGGGCAGCCCAACAGTAACGTATGCAATATTTCATCTTCCATTTGAACATGCCCTAAATACAAATATTCCAAAGATGGAAGGCTAACAGGATAACAAGCCTCCAACTCTACAAACACCAACTTTAGGACAGTCAATGATGCTAAGTTAAGTACAACCTCAGGCAAGCAATAATGTCTTCTCCTAACAGGTTCATACTCAAACATATTGAGAACCAATTTTTGAAGATGGGGCTGAGCGATAAAGCTTAACCACCTATCCAGTTTGACTTTAGAACGGCGTCCACGGTAGACAGTATTAAGGTTAAACCTAGTTATAACTGACATTGTATTGTGATGCATGCCCATCATGCGGTGCTTCAAGCAATCATCCACAAAATTATAGAAAATTTCAACATCTTTATTGCCGAACTGAGAGAATTCTAAAGTCGGAACATAGTACCACATTCGTCTCCAATGCCTAGAAAGGAGGCTCGTCCAAACAGCATCAATGGTGGGTAAGAAAGAAAGAATATGATGGATAACATGATCAGGTAGTTTTGATATCCGATCGGCATCCATGATTTTTGGTTCTTGACCTTCTTTTTTTCTTCCAACATGGACTTTTCTTCTTTTTCTGCCCATGTCTAAAATATTTGGCAAGGAAACAGAATAAGCTGTTAGCAAGACAGATAAAATACGACTCAAGAGTACTTCAAAAGGGTAAATTAAAGCAATCTCAAAGGGCAAGAAGCTTAATTAGAGGGAATAAAAGGGGACCAAAACACAGGTTTGTTCAGCATCCATTACTTTAAATTAAAATTCATCAAGAAAAAATATATACATATATATCCTTTCAATTCAAAATTATTCAAAGCATAGACAATGCCACAAATTAACCAAACCATGAGATTTTCACCTTCCGACCATTACTAAAGGCTCGTGTTTTCTGACATTAAATTTCGGGTAGAAACTTAGTGAATAACAAAAACCATATTCTCTAAAGCTACCACAAGGAAAGAAACAGAATCAAACATGTTAAGCATCATTCTTTAACCAAATAATTACTATACATATAAGCGAAGAACCATTCAAAAGGAAAGATAAAAAGAGAAAAAGTTACCTCACAAAATGTTATTCTTCGCTTGGTTTCTTCACTCTCAACCACGCTTCTCTCAACCTCCCCATTAATGACAGAATAATCCAAGGACTTGGCACTATCAAAAACGCATCTCTTCCAAAATTCCCTATTGTTCAACGTGAGGAATGAAGTCCAAACACTTTGAAATTCCACCAAAATAAGAGAGAGAGAGAGAGAGAGAGAGAGAGGAATTCAACAAAAATAAATAAAAATTGGAAAAAATAAGCAAAACCCATGAATGAATTAAAGCTCTTACAACAAGAGAAGAATAAAGTCCTTCACTTCATCATCATCATCCTGATCAATAACGGAAGACGCACGGAAGATGCTCGAACCTTCACGGCCAAACGGGAATCTTCTCCATTGAACCCTTACGACGAGGAAGACCGGCAAAGGTGTTGGATTTGGGCGGCTCAAGGCAGGGTTCGACGGGCGGACGCCGGAGTTGCTGCGGTGGCGGTGACGGTGGCCTTCTAGAGGCGGTGCTTCCTAGGGCTGAAGTTGAACTCTTTTGCAGAAGAAGGTATTGAAAAAGGCTTATGAAAACGTTTACTGTGGCTGAAGTTGAACTCTTTGGCATCCCAAAACAATTTAGCAAGGGACAGTTACTGTAGCGATTTTTAAAATTGATTTCGTTTTTATTTTTTATGTTTTTTTTAAATGAAAACGTTTTTAAAATGTTACTGAGTACAATAAAAAATAAAAATAAAAATGATTTTTTAATTTAATGTAAAATAAAAGAGAAATAAAAAATAATTTTTTATTTTTTATTTTTATTTTCTCCATTCTTGAATAGAGAGAGAGAAAGATAGATATTATTGGGTTTTTTACACTGTAAAAAATCTCTTGATAAAACTACTAAATGTATTTTTAAAAATGATTTCTGTTTGAGATTGAAAATGTTTTTATTTTTATTTTCATACAAAAAACAAAATCATTTTAGAACGAGTTTTAAATGCGTCCTATAATTTTGACGAAACAACTTCTAAATTTTTTAACATTGGTAATTATACTAGAGAAGAACAATGTAAATTGTAGTTAAAAAGTAGAATTTGAATTTTTATAAGAAAAATTACTGTAATAAAAAAATTTGTAAAAGAACATATCTATAATCTTTTTAAATTATGACACTTTTTGAACCATATGATACGGGTGGCAGGTTAAATTTAAAAATTACTTAAAATAATTCAATACACGTCTATGGAAAGAAACAAACTAATAGTGTGTTTGATAGGATGAAAAAGAGAGAAAAAAGAAAATAGATGAAGGATTTTGAAGAAAAAAATAGAATTGTCGGTTGTTTAGTACAGAGGAAATGAGAAAGGAGGAAAAATGAAAATTTATGGGGCCCGTCAATTTTTAATCCTTCTAATTTTAGGAAGAAAATAGGAGGAAAAAAGTTTAACAAACAAATGAGGTGTAAAATAATAATTTTAATCTTCACTATTCATCATATTTTTATTTGTATTAGAATATTATTATAAAATGTTTTAGATTTGGCATTTTATTTTCACTTTTCTTTCTCTTTTACGAAACAATATAAGAGAAAATCATTTTATTTCGATTTGACATTTTATTATCACTTTTCTTTCTCTTTTTCCAAACAACATGGGAGAAAATCATTTTTCTTTCTTCACCTAGCTATTTTTCTTCTCATTCCTTTCTCTTTTCTATCTATTCTACCAAACAAAGCATAATGGTATAATCGGTATCACAATTTCTATACTCTTAAAATTGAATTAATCTCACTAGTATTTTTGAACTTTGAGGTCATTCTTACTTTGCTTTTTAAGTTTTGAAAACTTTCACTTTATCCTTAAATTTTGAGTTTTTCTAATTTAAACTTTTTTGTAAGAATTTCTGTTAAAATTAAACCCAAAAAGAGGGGTTAAGTGTTAAAAACATAACTTGTAGTGATTTTGTCAAACGAATTTTTGTTATGCTCGATTATTAATGTGACGACCCTCCTATGAGGCCGCTACCGTAACTTACTTTTTAACTTGTACTTACTGAGATTTTATAAAATTTATGGAATATTTTTTTTTAAATATAAAAAGAATAATTTCATAAGAATGAATAACTAAATTACTTAAAAGCTTGCCTATGGACAAACGAAAGAATAAAAAAAAGGGTTATTCGAGCGCCTTCCATCCACACCTAGACCAAAGGCCTTAAGGTCTTCCATGGCCACCGTAGGAAAAAAATCCAACCACTTGTAGGGATCCGGAAACTCGAGTATCTGACTATCAGAGAGGCCAAAGCTGCACATAATCTCCCACTGGTATACCTGTCCACTAGATTTCGATGCAGCCTTAGACTTTTTTCCTTGGAATCTTTATGGATTCTCGTTTCCTTGACGAGCCTCTTCCAGTACTGTTTGACGTGAAAAAACCGGTGGTTTCCCCGAATTTGTTGATCTCGCGGGTAAGTTTATCGGCGGAGGCCTTGATGGGCATGCTAGTGCAGTGGAAAGCAAAAGGAAATAAAATGTTTGCACCTCTCAATCTGTGAAATGCAGCAGCAAACTCCAACTTTGAGATTGAGAATGCATGTCCTAGATGCAAAAAAAAAAAAAACCGTTCATGTATGGGAAAGGGAAGTTTCCAAAGAACTTCTCCCCGTGGGAACCGCGCGGCTTTTAGCGAGAATCGGCCCAGAAAACATCAACATCCTCCCACCATCTTCGTACCTTTGACTCGATTTCTAGGAGACGGTCTCTCCTGGCAAAGTTGCTCCCACCATTAGCTGTTGCTGCCATCTCAGAAACTAAGGAAATATGTCAGAAAACAATACACTATTATGCAACTACCAAACCTGATCGTGTCCTCCTAAATAATAGGCTAAGAAGAGAAACTTGGGGAACAAGAAAGTAGTTTATAGATGTCAAGACCTCGTCCAGTTCGTTAATTTGAATTTTTAATTTAAGTTGAAATATAATTTTATATGAGAGCTTTTTTACTGTAGCAGAAAAACTTAAGTATGACTTTTTGTAAGAGTTTTTAACTATAATAAAATTAAAATTAAAAACTCGAATCGGTGAAATAAACTATGCCTAAAATACTTAACATTATTAAATTTGAATAATTTCACTTATACAAAAAGAAGCATTCCCTTTAAAAAAAAAAATAATAAATACGTCATTGCCTTATTGGCAATATCCCTGTCTCATATATGGAACACGCACACAACGTTCCCATGTTAATGTCCAATTTCCGACGCGTGAGATATTTGGGAAGTTGATTTCGGTCAACTTAATTTCCAAAAATGAATTTATAATCTCTTTATTTTATCTTAACTAATTTAGGAATTAGTTAGTTAAAATTTTAAGGAACTATAGAATAATTAAAAGGGAGTTTCAAGGCACCTTGTATCACTGGGAGACGACTGGATTTAGATTAAAGATGATAATGCTCTATTAAAGGTGATAGTTAATTAGCTAGTTAAAAAAAAAAAAAAGATGATGGTTAAATTGCTATTAACTCATACTTTTACATACTTTTTTACATATCTGTGACTTTAAAGATGATGGTTAAATGGTTAAGAAAAGAACATATAAAATTATTATTCAATAAAAAGCTGTTAATAAATAGGATTGAATCATTAATTCTATGACGAAATTGCCTTAAAGCAAGTACATCCGTATGAATGTGATTATGTTATTCTTTTCAATATTAGCTTAAATGAACAAAAGAAATATGCATCTAACCTCATCATGAGTCTATGGCAAACAAACAAACAAAACTGTATTATTATTATGGGGACATCATAATAATTTTTATGCCTACTTTCATCTAACAAATAGTTAATTCTTAAGAATAAAATTTAATTAATGGGGATATATCTAAATGTGTGCGAAGCCTTGTCGAGATCTCGTTAGCTTGTCGGATCGGATTAAAAAAATAGGGCGTAATTTGCACCGTTGGCTGAAAATCTAGTTGTAATCACATAAAATATGGGTTAATTATTATAAGCAATAGTGATGTAGGTAAATTGTCCATCATAATATAGGTAGCGGTAATATGGTGGAAAATTCATGACTTTTTTTATTTAAATGGATCAAACACACATTATTAAAATTTACCATCTAATAAAATTATAGAAAAAATTTTCTGAAGAAAGAATTGGGATAATTTACCACTCTTTAATACGATGCAACAAGGGAAAAGAAGGAAATTTAAAAAGTATCCCCTCAGTTTTGTTTAAATACAATTTTTACTCTGAGTTTTTTAAAATTCAAAAAACATTCCTTCTATTTTTAAAAATAGATAAAAAAGTATTCTTTCTTTTAACTTTTCTGATTTAATTTTTTTTAAGTGGCCAAATTGTTCTTAGATATCTCATATACTATTTAAATTTGTGTTGGACTATGCCAGCTTTTAAACACTCCTCTTAAATTTCTTTCTTTTTTTTTAAGTGGCTCTCTTAGGAAATTTACAACATCAATTTGAACAAGTTTTTTATTTATTTTTTATTTTTTTATTTTAATAAGAAAGTGAAGTTTGAAAAAAAAAATGTAAATTTTTTGTCTCATAATAGTACTGACAATTCTAACAAGTTCCTTTACACACTACAAAATACACTTTCACCTCAAATTAGTAAATAAATTCGTCATTTTGCCAAATAAAATTTTAAAAAAAAATAGAATTACATCTTTTTTCAGTATAAGATTTCACTTTCTTATTAAAATGAAAAACAAAAAACAAAAAAAAAAAGCTTGTTCAAATTAGTGTTATAAAGTTTCTAAGACGTTTGCTTAAAACAAAAAAAAATTAAGAGGGGTGTTTGAAAGTTAGTACAACCCAGCACAAAGTTGGATAATATATGGGATATTCGAGGAAAAATTAGCTATTTTAAAAAAATTAAACCTAAAGAGTTAAAAGAAGGGATACCTTTTGTATGGATTGAAAAACACATGAGATGCTTTTTGAATTTTAAAAAACTCAGGAGTAAAAATTGGATTTAGACAAAACTAAGAAGATACTTTTTAAATTTTCTTAGGAAAAAGAAACAAGTACCCTTTAAAATGTATGGATCAAAATTTCTATTTATCGCTCTTTCTTAATAACCTTTTTAATCAAATAATTATACTAATATAAGAATATAATTAAAAATAAAATGTAAAAATTGAGACACATACTTTTAAAGTTTAATTTCACACTTTTCTCATGCAACAATCCGCGTAAATCTTCACTAATATTTGGGCTGCAAAGTCTTCACAATAGGCCCCACACAAGAAATAAGCCCACATTAAGTACCTTCTCGAGATATTTAAGTCATATATCATAATTTTTAAGGTTAGATTAATTTTTATTATGGGTACTAAAATTATTATAAAATATATTACAGTAGTTCTATTTAAGTTTTGTGTATTAAGTAAAATTATACTTATATTTTTATATATTTCATTTAATATTTTTGAATTTTATGAGAATTTTATAATTTTTTATGTATATATTTATGATTTTTATAAATTTTACGATTTTTAAATATTTTTAATTATAATATTTTCTGTAATGGTTTATATTTACATATATTTGTGATTTT